CAGCCCCCATTTCTTCCACCTCCCTCACGAACCCTTGATAAATTATAGATTATTTTTTCCATATCTTACATCATCCTCCGTCGCCCCTCACCCACTTTTCCGTTATTCGTCCCCCTGGGAGGGGGTTCTAGAATAATTCTTGTGATCAATTCCCCCCGACCCTTCCCTAATCCTCCTGGTATCTTTACTCTTCTTGTTGGCCCTGAGGGGTTTATCTATCCTGGATTCCCTGTGTTGCAGGCTCTTATCTATAGCAGTGTACATGCTCTGTTCTAATCGAATTTTAAGGTAGAATTCAGGTCATGATAGTGGGGTGAAGGAATCACCAAAGAACTAGAGGATAGTTGTGTGTTTCATCGGTGCTATACTGCACCCTGACTGACTCATCTCTTCCCTGTGACCCCTCTGAAGGGATGTCCAATTGTCTACAGATGGGCATTGGGTCTCCACTCCATGTCCCCCCTTTGACCCCCCAATTCACATTGGGTATGATTTTGTTCTGGGTCTTAGATACCTGATCCCTTCAACACCTCATGATCACACAGGCTGGTGTGCTTCTTCCATGTGGGCTTTGTTGCTTCTGAGCTAGATGGCTGCTTCTTTTATCTTCAAGCCTTTAAGACCCCAGACACTATTTCTTTTGATAGCCGGGCACCATGAGCTTTCTTCACCACATTTGCTTATGCACCTAATTTGTCTTCAGCGATCGTGTCAGGAAGGTGAGTATCATAGAATGCCAGATTGTTAGAACAAAGTGTTCTTGTGCACATTAACACTTTTTAACACAGTCACAAGGAGACTTTGGCATGAAGAAAAGTTAGCCTCCTGAGGAATAACTTTTCTTGTTTGTAAGCTTTTTATGATCAATATTCTTTTTCAAAAAACTTTTTATTATGAATGAGGTGGGAGTTTACATTTCACATCATTTTTGTATTCAACAACGTCAGCTCTTCAGCAAACCTGCCTGTCTCGCCCACCACTGTTATTTCTCTTCTCCCCTGTATAGAACACTATCGTCTGCTTCACCTACGTCAGCACCTCTCTACCCTTTGCCATGTTACTTCCTCTCTCTGGTAGCCCCCAAAGCCTGTTTCTTTGTATGAAAATCTTTTTAACAGTGGGATCACACAGTACTTGTCTTTTTGTGATCCACGCACTGGGCCACGAGGGGCTTCACAGTAAGGATGTGTAGTATTTCATTGTACTTGTCACTGGTCTTTCAAGTACCAGGAGGCTCAACCAGAGTGAACAGGTTTCAGCAGAGCTTCCAGACTGAGAACAGACGATGAAGAAGGAACAGGCTGTCCACTCCAGGGGAATGAGCCATGGACAGGTGTTCCAAAGCACTGTCAGATACTAAAGGCCTAGTGAATAGAAGCAGAGCACTGGCAGAGCCAGTGCCAGAGGATGAGCCCCTCGGTCAGAAGGCATCAAAGTAGGACTGGGGGTAGGAGAGGGGAGTACGGAGTGGAAGCCCAAAGCTAATCTATGGGCAACTGGACATCCCCTTACAGAAGGGCCTCGGGGAGAAGACGGGCCAGTTTCCCTCTGGGTCTTTAATGCTTCCTCCCCCCCACTATCATGACCCTAATTCTACCTTACAAATCTGGCTAGACCAGAGCATGTACATGGGTACAGATAAGAGCTGGAAACACAGGGAATCCAGGACAGATAAACTCCTCAGGATCAGTATTGAAAGTAGCCATACCAGGAGGGGAAGGGGAAGGTGTGGGGAGGAAGGGGGAACCGATCACAATGACCTACATATAAACCCCAGGGGGACGGACAACAGATAAGGAGGTAAAGAGAGACATCAGACAGTGCAAGACATGAAAAAATAATTTATAAATTATCATGGGTTCATGAGGGAGGGAGGGAAAAATGAGGAACTAATACCAAAGGCTCAAGTAGTAAGAAATGTTTGAGAATGATGATGGCAACAAATGTACAAATATGCTTGACACATGGATGTATGTGTGAATTGTGATAAGAATTGTACAGGCCCCCAATAAAAGGATTTACTAAAAGAAAGGAGGCCTGAGGAAGAGCTGGCCTCCCAGCGTTGAGCTGCCTCTACTGACATGGATGGAGGAGAGCCTTTGGGACCTTCATTTGCTAATGGGGCTCAACTCAAAGTGAGAAGACACAGCCATGAAAATCTAATCATCAGAACCTGGAATGAGCCAGGTATGAAACTAGGGCAGTCGAAAGTCCTTCAAAGTGAAATAGAATGTGTAAAGGGCGATATCCTAGGCCTTGGTGAGCTGACATGGGCTGGTGGTGGCCATTCTGAGAATCATGTAGTTACTCTGCTGGGAATGACAGTTTCAAGAGAGTGATGTCGTGTTCAAGTCAAAAAGAAGACAATGAAAACAAATCCATGAATGCCACAATGCAACCTTGAGTCCCCCCCACCTGAACTTGAAAACACCTCAAGAACAGACCACGCTTCCAACACTAAGGACAGAAGCCTGGTGAACTGTGGCATGACATCAAGACATTATTCATGAAGAAAGCAAGTTCCCAGTGAATGTCAGAGGAGCCTCCGAAACTTGCTCTTCCTTGCAGAGCAGCTGCGTTGGCTGTGGAAGAAATGACGAAGTAAAAGAGCTGAACAGAAAATGTCGAAAGGCAACTCAGGAAGACAGAGAGAAATACGACATTTGTTGCACAGCCCTAGAGTGAGAAAACCAAACGGAAGAGCACATTCAGCAGATCTTAAACTGAAGGAGCTCAAGAAGGTTTTCAAGCCTTGGGTTGCAATACGGAAAGATTCTATGAGCTAAATATAGAATGATGCAGGGCGCATCAGAAGAAGATGGCAAGAATACACAAAAGAGCTCGCCGACATTCACCAGTTCAGGAGGGAGCGGATGAGTAAGAACCAGTGGCGCTGAAGGAAGACATTCGAGCTGCGCTCAAAGTGAATATTAACCAGAAACAGGGCTTCTGGAGCTGATAGACTACCAGCTGAAATATTCCAACAGCTTGATGAAGTACAGAAGCACTTAGTCGTCCAGGCCAGGAAATTTGGAAGGCAGCTACTTGGCCAGCTGGCTAGAAGAGATCCATGTTTGCACCCACTCCAAAGAAAGGTGACACAACAGAACGCGCAAATGACAGCACAGTATCATTAACATCACGTGCAAGTAAAACTTTGCTGAAGATCATCCATGCTCGGTGGTAGCAGTGCCTCGGCAGGGAGCTGCCACAGGTTCAGGCCGGATTCAGAGTAGGACATGTAACCAGAGATATCACTGCTGATGTCCGATGGATCTTGGCTGAAAACAGAGACTACCAGAAAGATGCTTACTTGTATTGTAGTGACGATGCCAAGGCCTTCGACTCTGGATCCGAACAGACTACGGACAGTCTTGAGACAAAGTGGGAGTTCCAGAACCCTTCTGGGCTCATTTGGAGCCTGCATGTGGGCAGAAGGCAGTTGGGTGAAGAGAACGCGGGAGTACTGCATGGTCTAAAGTCAGGAAAGTGTGTCCTTTCACCATCCTTACTCAGTCTGCACGCTGAGCAAATCATCAGGGAAGCTGGATTCTATAAAGAAGAATGTGGCATCAGGTGCAGATGACAAACCCTTGCTTAAAGTGAGGAGGCCTGGGCTCAGACTTAACAATGGTGAGGTGGGGCAGGACAGGGCAGGGTTGTGTTCTGCGGAAACGTTGCAGCATGCCATCGTTCGCTGGTGCTCCATTTGCCGCTGTTCTCTTGTAGGGTGTTAAGGGTTAGGTTTACTGTTCACAACACTGAGGTAGGGCAAGCGCAAACCAAAAAAGTGTTCAACTTCTTTGAGAACTGCATCATCTATCTGCACAGTCCGGGGCCATCTGACAGCACAAGACTGATCAGCCACTAAGGAATAAGAAAACCCTGTCTTTTAGAGTTAAAAA